ATATAAATCCTATTTACAAATACTGTGGTGGCATAACCTAGTGAATTTTTCCTGCAAAAGTGCGAAAAAAAAAAAGTTATGCTTAAATCTCAACTAAAACTAAAGGACAACTAGAAAAAAGCAGACCTGATTATGAATTTGAATTCTTGTCAAACAATACATTAGTTAAGAGCCAACATTTTTGACCACTGCAGAAATAAAAATATAAAGTAATTTATCTGATCTGCTAAAGCAAATATATCATGTGTGCATTTTATGCCAAAAGAATTAACATTCTCTGAGAAGAATGAAATTTCAACCCAAAAATACTATGAAAGGAATTAAATACACCAATAGACCAATTTTCTAAAGGTAAAGCCCATTCTAATGGTCAAAATATTTTTTCAAAACTGGTTCAACTAGCAAAGAAAGGGTCACAGAAAAACTTAATCTTAAAAATGGTTCCAGTTTAAAAAGGCAATGTTGTACAATGTAAATTTATATTCAAATGACAAAATTTAGTTTCCACGCCACTTAAAATGGAGTGGATGCTGTGTGACAGAAAGTATGGGTAAGAAATCAGTGTGGGCAAACAAAAAACATTTGGTTTTAAAGTCACATAAAAACTGTTGGTATAATCTGTCAAAACCTCAGTTATTTTTCTGGGAAAGATTTTGTGCCCTATAAATCTATACTGATTGAACAACTAACTAGTGCAGAGAAAACCACCTTAAGATGTACAGGAAATGGGTCATTCTCTCACCTAAGTACTGGTAACTCCACAGATTAACTGTGGGTTCAGCTTAGACTTCTACAGCTCCAATGTGCAGAAGATATACATACAAAAATCCACTTGTGCTCTACACCAAGCAATCCTATAAGGCTTCAAATCCCACGAGAGTGAAGTCAAAAGCGCTAGAGAATGTGGTTCAGTCAATAAAACAAAAGGTAACTGGAGAAAGCTACCAGACACCTCCAAACATACACTAGTTCTTAAATTGAAAATGGATAAAATTTCATTCCAGATTAACAGACTCAGATCACAATTTCCCAAAGAAATGATTATTAGTGGCACCCACTGTTCATTTAACAAACCCAAGGTACAAAATTATCTGAACTGTAACATCACGGACTCTTGCTTTTAGAGAATCATCATCAGTTTCTATATAACCCAACTAGTGTGTTAAGAAAGACATCAAAGCAGTAATATTCCCAGAAGAACAGAAAAAGTATACAAGTTAACTATCCTTTAAAAAAGAAAACCTAAATTTCAAGCAAAAAAAGGCCAACTTCCTCAACATCTACTAAACTCCTACATAGCTCCCTGTAAAATTATTAGAGTTAATTTTAAAAAATTTAGCCAGAGATTTAAGTACTCTAAGCCTCAGAGAGAAATTTTATTTGTACTCACTGCTACCTATTTACTGATACTTTTTAACTTGGATCTCAAAATTGGGATTCAACAATTGATCTGTAAATCAATTTCCTTATCTGTAAAACTGAAAGAATGCCACTTACAGGTTACAAATTTTAAATTAGATGATTTGTGAATCAGCACAAAGATTCTCATGAAGGGAATGTTGAAATCTAATGCATAATGTTGATTTTACAAATATCCCGACTTCAGATCTCTACCACTATGGTACTCAATAAACATTAACTAAGTCTACCATATGAAAACTATGGATCCTGACTTCCAACTGCTCAAATTTTTAAAAATCCCCAACTCCCATAGTAGTATAGTTGATGGTATAGCACTTGAAGAAATCAACCAAAGTTAGGTTTCACTCTAACTTAAGTTTCTCTCTTCCAAGAGCAACAGCTAAAAATTTATGTATTGCTCCTCTGCATCTTATTTGTAAAAGCTTTTTCTAGAGGTTTCAGTGGTTACCAATCCCACACTCCAACAAAAAGGAACAGTACAAACCCTGTAAAATAACTCTACTAAATTTCAACTTTGTGTCTCAAAATCAAAGCATTCTATAACTACTGCACACAGAAATGTTACTTTTAAAAGACAAAATAAATAAGTTAAATCCTAAGAATAAATGTTTAACCTTGTTCACACAAATGTCTTTTCAAGTAAACTATAAATATGGGGGTCTCAGACTTTTTAAGAAAAAGTTATATGAAAAAACATTCAAACGTTTACTTTTCCCTAGTGCCACAAAGGTCAATGATGTTGTAAATGGTTTCTGCCTATAAATTTGGTTTGTTCAAATTAAATATTACTTGACTGACTCATGGAGGGAGTGGTATGACTTTCGCTGTTCTGAGTCAGAATATACCCGGTTCAGCAGTTCTAAACAATTTTTCATTTGTATAGATGTTCTAAAATGTTCTTTCCAGCTCCTAAATATATCAATTAAACTGTTCCTTAGTAGAAAAGTCTTAGTGGTAATACTTTGAATCTGTAGTCCAATATATAATTAACAAAGTGCTTTCATATATTTTCTCACATCACCTCCACAATCTCTGGAAGTATCCCACACAGCTGAACACTAAGACTTTCCCAAAGAAGTGATAACTTGACTCTTAGCCCCAGTAAATACACTCTTCCTCCCAACTCCCATCACCCCCAAAAAAATGAAAGTCTACTGGGTTTCTTTAATCAGACTTTCCTCTCCCAGACATATCCCAGGTGCCTCATAAAAACTCTGTCTCAAAGCACACACCCTGGGGCCCCAAGAGAGTTTCAAGGCAGAATCTCCACAAACATAAAAACTTAGTTTAGGCCCCAAAGAGCCTCAAGTCAGCATCTTCTAAATGATCCCCTTGCCTCCAGCCATTCAGTCTTCTGCATTATCTTCAACGTCTCTCACCTGTACAAGCTGCTAGGTCACTGTGTAGATGAAAAACCTCGAAGTGAGCCAACCTATTTCAAGGGTCATAATGTTATAGTGGAAAAATCAAGAACTCTGGAGTCAGACTGACCTCGATTTTTAATCCACCTCCAATTCTTACTATCTTGTGACGTGGGACAAGTTAGTTAACCTCTTGGAGTCTCTGTACCTTTTCATTTCATAATGGTAAGTCAATGAGGGTTCATCACTGTATCCCTAATGCCTGGCAGATAGAAACCACTCAGTATGTACCAAATGAATGCAGATGAGGACACCTACCACCTTTACAGTAGCTGTAAGAATAAAATGAGAATATAAAAAGCATCTGGTGCACAGCAGGCATGTAATACTAATTAATTTGGTCCCCCACTAAATAGTACTAACAATACATTTTACTATTTCTGAAAGCAGCATGCTAGTGACTGAGAAAGAGGACACTAAGAAAAATGGAATTTGACTTCTAATTATACAATGCTTTTGCCTATAATTCTACTACCTCTACTATGAAGAGGAACACCCTAATCTTTGCTTAATTGTATGGAAAGATTTGCAACTTCTAAGAGATTTCCCTATTATTAAAATGTAAGACCCTTATCAAGGTACTCTTCATCAAAAACCTCTGCTTTCATAACACAAGGATCTAGGAAAAATCTATGACAATGTCCGTTCACTAGCCAACATGAAGTAACTTTAAATCTGTCAAGATCAGAATACTGGCAAACTTCTTTCTTCACGTACACAATGGTTTGCTGGCAAGTGATTCTGAAGCCTTCAAATGTGTCATTCTGTAGCCTTAATTTCCTTTTGCACACTGAACAAGGCATAACTTCACTCACTTACTGTCTGAAACTACTCAACTACAGAGAGCATGGCAGCAAGTAACTCCCTATTCTAATCCAGCAGTGGTTGTAGTTTGGTAACTCCAAACAAGCATTTACTGAATACTTACAGGGATGCTAGAACTGCTAGACACTTTATCTAGGAAATAATAAACAAGCCTAAGGGTCTTCATCATCGTTATATCATCATCATCATTATATATTCTTAAAAGCTTTTCTCCAAAAGAGCAGGAAAGAACCACAGGCAAAAAAAAAAAAAAATACTGCTTCTACTTACCTAACAATAAAATAACTTTCACTCGAAAAACTAGCAGTACTTGACAGAACAGCCTATGCTTCTGAACCTTCTAAAGGCAAGAGCTTAGGCTCCTGGGCAACAGACAAGCTTGTTTTAGTGAGCTCTCAGAGCCCCGTACTAGGGTGGGATGGCAACCATATCCTGGACAAATTTAGAAACGCATGTCAATGTCATGGAACATGGGGGAAATTTTTACCAAAAAAAAAACCTTTATTTAAAAAAATCCCAGAACCAGAAAATGATAGTGCTGCTAGAAAAGACTCCTATACCCTTTCCTTAGATTTGAACCCAAGAACCCAGGAACACGATGCTCCTGGAAAGAACTCCATGACTCAGGGCACCAGGGTTCACAATCACCACGCACACGTATCAAGGACAGCCTCCAGGATGGCTGCTCACACACCGGACAGTCACAAGCACACCCTTCCACACTCCCTCATCTGCCATTCACCTTCTCCCCAACCTCTCCCACTCTACCCCACACACTCAACACTCTCCGTCCCCCACTCACTCATTCTCCCATTTAGCCCGCGCTCCCGCTCACTCATCTCCCCACACTCGCTCACTCATTCCCACACGCCACCCCCACTCATTCTTCTCATGCACTCACTCTCCCCTACACTCCCCCACGCCCCGCACAGATCCTGTCCCCTCCAAACTCCCCCGCTCCCGCTCTCGCCCCACCCATCCCTCCCTCTCCTCTACTCACCAAGTCACACTCCCGCAGATACTGCCCCCAGCTCTCCCCGTCCACACTCTCCCACTCCCACCTCACCCCTACTTGCGCACACAGCCCTCTCCAACTCACTCTCCCCCTCACGCACGCACATTTCCCCCACACACATTCCTCCCCACTGCACACGTCCCCCCTTCCTCACCCGCCCGCGTTCTCCGCGCTTCCCGGCTGCGCCCCCGCCCCGGCACGGCCCTCCTTCCGGGGACGTGTCTCGGGCCTGCACTAATGGCCGCGGCGCCTCCCGCCCTCCCCTTCCCCGAGGCCCCGGGAGCCGGCGCGGGGCCGCCCAGGAGAAGCGCACTCACGCTGGCGAGCTGGAGACTGGGCATTGAAGTCCGGCGGCGGCGGGAGCGAGGAGGCGCCTCTCTCCTCAGTCACCTCGGCGGCGGCGGCGGCGGCGGTAGCGGTAGCGGCGGCGGCGACGACTCCCCCCCAGCCTCGGTGCGCGACACCCGGCCCGGTCTGGCGGCGGCGCCGGCGCGTGTACACGAGTCCGTCGTGCTGCTGCTGCTGCGGCCGCCGCTGCGTCCCCTGCTGCCGCCGCTGGCCCCACTGCCGCCGCTGCCCTGTGGCGTCGCCTCGTGCTGCGCCCGGCCGCCGCTGCCACTCCAGCCGCTACCGGACGGACGACGGTTACAGCCCTGCCGATCGCGCCGCCGCCACCACCGCTGCGCGCGCAGCCGGAACCAGCTCCCGCCACCGCCCCTCAGGGGGCGCTGCGGGGCGCGGCGCGCGCTCCCGCCGGCCCGCCCCCAGCGCCCGCCTACTGGCTGGCCGGCCTGCTCGAAGGCGGTTGGGCCCGCCCACCTGCCCCGCAGGGCGCTGACCCACTGCCCTCGGCGCCTCCCCCGCTGCACCCCTAGGTTCGTTCCGCTCCGCGCTCCCGGGTGCGGAAGGCGTGTTCTTGTGACCGGGCGGCAGCCGCAGAAGGGGCCTGGGGAGTCGTTTGCCCTCGCTGCGGCCCACCCTGCCGCACCTGGGCTGGGAGAGAGGGCGCGAGGCCGCGTCGTGACCCGCAAGGTCGAAGGGCCTTTTCCCGAAAACGGGGCCGTGCGGCCTGGGGCCAGATGGTGATGGCATGCGACGGCGACCGAGCCCTTTGCTCGGGGATTTCCAACACTGAACTGAGAAGCAGGGCAGCCCGCCTCTTGGCTGCTCTTTCTCGAGGCCCCAAATAAATGGCCTGAAAGTCTGCAATTGCGAAGGATTCCGCACCTAACCCCCAACCGCCCCGCTCGCCACACGCGCGCGCGCGCGCACACACATACACACCCTGACAAGTCAAAATTCAAACTTCCGGGATGTAATATCTTGGGCAAGTTATTTCCTCTGAGTATTCTGTTCATCTATTAAATGGAAATAGCTACCTCATGGGGACTCTTTTCACTATTAATGATATAAGCAAAATGCTTGATAAATATGAGACCCTGAATTTCAAGGTTCCAACCTAAAGTCCTTTTAATGACAGGAATTATAGAGATTTCACTATTCTCTCTTGCATTTGGAAGATAGATGGCCAGAAATTCTTTACTTTGCCAGACCATGAGTCCTGAGTTTTGGTTTGGGAAATGTCACAGGTGAGTTGAGAGACTGGTCCGGGCCACTGCCTCATAGCAGCTAGAAACAGGCACTGGAGGCTGGTTTGGGGGTAAGAGGGGAGGCTTATGCATGTCCGCTGTGGGGAGGGAAGCTCTGTCCTCCCTATCTACTCTAGGAAGTCTCTCCTGCCCAGAACTAGCACCTATCCAGAAGGGACTCTTCCTGCCCCTTGGGTTGCCTCCCCTCCACCACCACAGCACACGTGCTCATCTAGCCCTGTGGGGAGAAGCAGTGGTCAGTCAGTAGTCATTACGCCTTCCCCACAATGCAGACCCCGGCATTGCTCCTGACCAGAAGCCTTCCATTAGAACTTAGCAGTAAAAAGAAAGGTCTTATGACTCAGCGACATCAAGCCACAGCCCAGAACCCAGGATGTTCACTACCAGCAGGTGGCCCAGGAGAGGGTATTCCAGGGCAAGGCTGGCTGGCAGGACTGTGTGGGAGTTAAAAGGCCTTGAAGCAAAAGGGGTTGCAGATCAGAATCAAGGCCCTCGGGTGAAGAACACAGGCTCAGCTACTGTTTGCATTCTACCTACCTCCAACAGGCAGATTTTCCACTTCCTCAAAGTTGACTTGAAACAGACCTCCCTCCTCTGCAAAGTTTGCTGAGTCTCCTGGTGATGGACTCTTCTGCAATCCCCTATCATAGCACTTATCACTTCATATTGTAAATGCCTATTTTCAGGATTCTCCCTACTTAGACTGACCTATTGGGGCAATCTAGTAGACTGTCAAACAAATAAATCTCCCCTCCATCTAGCTCTTAGCCTAGCCCTAAACTGTCAGTAAATAATATAACATGAAAAAAATAGTGGTTATGATAATGGTTACCATTTATTAAGCATCCACTCTATTCCAAGTCCTGGGCAAGGTGTTTTTAAATATATTATCAAGTGTATGCTTCGAAAGAACCTTATGAGGAAGGTATTATCTTTATTTTAAAAGGGATTGGTTGCCCAGATGAAGTGACAGAAGCAGGATTCAGCCCAAGTGTCTGCTTCTAAAGCCCAAATAAGCATGATACTAGCCAGGTTCTAGACCCCAGTCAATAACTGGTGTCCCCCAGAGTAAGAATCCTTTTCAAGATGCTGGAAACACCCCCCTCTGAGAGCCAAAGGCCTGAGACACTCCCCACTCACTCACCACACCCCTCTCAGCACCCTGGGAGAGAAGGGAAATGCTCTAACTCCTGCAAATGCTCTAACTCCTGACATGAATAACATCATCCAAAGGGTTTCCCAAGAAAGGCTACACGCCTCAAATAGATGAGGAATCGGGCTGCAGGTGCCTTTATTACAGTGTGAACTGCCCTTGGCACTGAGTTTCACACATAGTAAGTTCCCTGAGTTTATCCAGTGTCTTTGCTGTAGCATTCATAAGTGCCATTAACTTATTAATCCTCCCAGGGTCCCCATGAGGCAAAGCTAGCAGTATTCCTGACTGGTTTTATAGAGCACTGTGTGGGCCTGCCACACACAGAGGTTAGAGGAAGAAGTAATGGTGGTATGACAAAGAAACTGAGATCCTTGAAAATATCAAAAAAGACAGAGGTGGGGACACAACCCAGGTGACTGGTTCCCACCCTGAGACTCTAGACTGTTTCATCTGGCATCCTTGCATTACCATTTAGTCATTCTGTAACTTTGGGAAGTTATTTCATCTAGCCTCAGTTTTCCCATCTGTAAAATGGAAAAGATAATAGTACTTACCTCCTAAGGCAGTTTTGAGCATTATAGAAGTCAGTATATATAACTCAGGTAGCACCATGCTGGACACATAGTAAGTGTTCCATAAATGTGAGCTTTGTTACTCTGGCCCAATAGTGTTTATTTCAAAATTGCAGGCTGTACTACTTACTATTAGCTTGGTGACCTTGGACAGATGGCTTAACTTCATGAGTGAACCTCTATACTCATCTGTGAAATGGGATAGTTCTGAAATGAAGATCTTGTAAACTGAAGTAAAATGAAGTGCTCTGTAAGTGTTAAGTACTATATACACATTAACTGTGGTTTGTACTATGACTGTACAAGAATCCCAGCTCTGCCCCTTGAATTACTGACTTCTAAAGCTTCCTCATGTGTAATATGGGCCTGGTGATCACATCTGTCTCAGGGGGTTGTCATAAAAAAGTAAATGATTAAAGACAATATATTTAAAGTCCCAGCATGTTGGGAGGTGGTCCATACATGTTACTTCCCTACCCTTTAATAAGTATTGCCTCTCAATGTCCTAAAATAAAGGCAGACTGATGGAAATGTATGGAACATGGACTGGTGGGAACCATCGAGCTGGAATCATTCCTGGTTCTGCCACTGTGTCGCCGTGGACAATTTACCTAACCTTTCTGAGCTTCCAGATTGCTTGCTTCTAACAAGAGACAAGGCATGCCTACGTTGCAAAGGTTTAGGAAGCTAAGACTGACTGACCCAGCACGGACCCTGCCACAGAGTAGGAGCTTACTCAGTAAATGGGTGCTACTAAGAATTGCACACGCAGGCCTATGAACTGCTCTGATGGAAAAGGCCCAATTGGAAGAAACGACCAAAATTCCCAACCTGAAACCAAATGGGGTCATGAGCTGCAAAATAAGCGATCCAGCCCCTACAAATTCAGCTGAGATTGGGAGGTTCCAGCCCAGCACTGCTTAGCTTGTCAGGACCCTGCCAGTGGACCGGTCAGGAGAAGGCCATGAGAGGACCCAACCCTCCCAAAGTGATAACGGGGGAGGAGGAGGCAGGGGGAGGAAGGAATGTACTGATTCACTACTCCACCCATCCCCTGCCTCTAATCTCTTTCCGGAATTTTACAACCGTCTTATACTGGGGCGGAGGCAAAGGGGCAGGGCGCCGATTACCGCCGGCTGCAGGAACCTCCCTGGCCGATCTTCTGCGGGAAGCCCCGGAGTCATGCACAGACCCCGGTAGTTTGCTCTCAGCAGCTGCCTGCGACCGAAGAACTTACCTGCGTGCTGTTTGGGCCAGGGGATGAGGGTGGGGGTGGCGGGTGGAGAGGGGGCGGGGGAGGCGGAGGAGCTGTGAATTCCGAGAAACTTCAAGGCTCGCTCCGGGGGTGGGTGCACGGGCCCGAGTGCCCTCTCCCCTGGAGAGGGGGCGGGGGAGGCGGAGGAGCTGTGAATTCCGAGAAACTTCAAGGCTCGCTCCGGGGGTGGGTGCACGGGCCCGAGTGCCCTCTCCCCGCGCCGGTTGGAGCTGGAAAGCCAAGGCTGATTCGGCTGTGGCCTGAGTGCCCTGGAAGGCCGAGGCCTCCTTCAGGATCCTTCCCGCGGCCAGTCAGCTATTAGGATCCCCATCTCCACAGCTGTCAGGTGTAACTGGATTCCAGCCAGAAATCCTGAAAGAAAAGTTTAGGAACTGGCAGGTAGAGCAAGCTTTCAGAAACTTGTCTCAACTTCCTCATTTTATCTCACCAAAGGTGGAGCAACTGAGGCTAGAGAGCGTGGGGATCTGCCCCAGGCGGTACTGAGAATCAGCTGCGGACTCCAGCCAGTACTTTAACCTCTGGCGCTGCCCTGCCTGCTGGCTTCAGTTCACAGCATTCTCTGGTTCCTCAAGACTTAGTTTCCCGGTTTAGCAGTTGGAAAATAACAAAGAATTTATTAATAACTGAAACAAGAGCTGTTGGAAGTGAAGCAGCAAATTTGCCAACACAACAAAAGGAATTAGGAGGTGATGTTCACAGTTAACATTTATTGGGCACGCACTATGTGCTAAGCACTGTGTATGTATACTAACCAATTTTCAGAGCAATCCTAGGAGGTGGGAATTATTATTATCCTCATTTTACTTATGGGGAGCCATAAGTAACATGAAACAAAGCCACTTGACCAAGGTCATCCAGCTAAAACATGATAGAGATAGGATTTAAGCCCAGGGAGCATTTTTCCAGGGCCCCACACCCTCAACCACTATGCCATCTGCCTCTCCTAATGGGAATGTGGTTACAATCTACCTACATTCTGGATGTTGGTTTAACAGTGTAAACACTTTTCATTATTGCAGCCTCTTTCAGAGTGACTTAAGTTATCTGTGTGTGTATAAATGTTTAATATATGCTCTCTGACCATGATAATGTTTCTACACACTGAGGCATCAAAGCACCAGGAATGGGGCAATCAAGGTCACATTGTGAAATCAAGAGGACTCCTTTCCCCAGTTTTGGTAGGAGAGAGAGAGCAGAAGGACTACAAACTCACCTAACACCTGAATTAATGCCTGAAAGAACTTCAGAAGTCATCCCCTGCAACTCTTCCTTTTATAGGCCCAGGTAAAGAAAAGGAGTTCCCCAGGCCATTCAGAGGTATTGAAGGTTTGAGCAGGGGTGGGGGGACCCATTGTGGGGAAGGGAATAGAAGGCCAAGCAAAGGGACAAAAGATTAGATTAGCCTCAATGTCAGAAACCTTTTCTTCTGGTTGTATTTTTAAAAATCTTCCACCATTCCCAGCCTTAAAAATGATATGTGCATTTTATGGTATGAAATTATACTCTAATAAAGCTGTAAAAGAATAAGACATTCTTATTTTTAAAATATTTAATTGTAGAGATGAATGCTTAATGAAGTAAAAGTCCCCCACAATCATACCTAAAGAAGTGGTATCAACACCTTGTATTATATTGCTCCTCTAGATTTTTCTCTGTACAGTCATGTTTTTTTGTGTATTCATATATGCATGCACGTGTGTGTGTAACAGAAATGGTTTCTCTTAACTATAATGGCTTGGACAGTTTTCCATGTCAGTACATTTGGATCTACCTTAATCATTTAAAGACTGCCTACATAGTATGGCTGAATTATAATTTATGTAACAGGTTCCCTAGTGATAGCTGTTTGGATTATTTCCAATTTTTTGATATTATAAGCAATACTGCAATGGACTTTTTTGTACATACATCTTGGAACCCTTTTAGGGGAATTCTGTGGGATAAATTCCAAGAGGGACTGTTCCTTTTAAAACGACATGCTTACCATTTTCATTTTATTCCAAATGCCTTGACATAAAAACCTGTTGCTGATCAAAAAGCACATAAAGTGCTGACGGTACAGTAAATATTAAATAAATGTTATTTTCATGATTATTACTTCATTAGTCTGGTGGGTAAAAGCTCATTTCTTCAGTCAATAATTACTGATGAGCTTCTGCCATGTGACGGGCCTGAGAATCCAACAACAGTGAACAGATAGAGACCTTGCCCTCAAGAAGCTGGCAATCTTGCTGTTGAGGGATGTGTCAGCTGGCGATTACAACACCATGAGATAAGTACTCCAAAAGTGATAACTGCAGGGGAGATACAGGAGCACATAGGAAGGACATTAACCAGCCTGAAGAAGGGCAGGCAAGAGAGAGGTGATGAGAAAAGGTAACATGATCCAGCTTGCATGATCCAAAGAGGTAAGGTAGTCAGCACCCCAGCTGCCACAGGTATCCAAACAGAGGCCACAACACCATCTCCAAGGAATACAGGACAGTAAACCATGTCAATGGTTCTCAAATGTCTACCTTCAGACTGGTGCTAGTGCCTGGGGAAGGGAGAAAAATAAGGATAAAGAGGTGAATTTTCATATACTACATTCAGTCAGTGTAAGGGACAGTCCTTTCATTCTGAGAGTATACCCTTCTTACTTATTTTGGTATTCAAATGTCCTTTTCTTATGAAGCAGTGGTTGTAGAACATGATAGTTGTTTTTCTTTAATGTTCTCATTTGGCCAGACTAAAAGCTGACAACCATATCTGGGTCCCCCTCCTAATTTTTTAAACTTTTGACAATTGATGACATCTAAAAGTCTGAGGACTTTTTGAGACAGGTGACTGCTAAGGTTCTTTCCATCCCTGTGGTGTTAAGATTCTCTGCTCAAAGTGATTAAGTTCTGAAGCTAAATTAAGTTTGGAATCTGTAAGCCAACTGACTCAAGGTCAAAATAAATACATAAGTACGTGAGTAAGTAAAAGAAAGAAAAACAATGTTCTACCCTCTCAGGCACTTTAATTTTTGGTTCCCAAGCGACAGAAGAGTACCTCCAGTTTCCATATAGACTTGCTCTCCTGCTCCCAGAAAACACAGCACTGAAGAGGAGAAACCACAGAAATAACAGAGAGAAGTGATACGGGAAAATCAATTTGGGGCAGTTTTCACAAACCTTTAAAATAGAGTGATTTAAGTGATGACGGGGTTTCATGATCAGCGGCAGCAGGGCCTCTGATGGGAATGCTGGTGTTCTGAAGTTTCTCTGAGAGGGTGGGAGGGGAAGGAAAATGGGGTTTTTCCTCCTTCTCCACTTTTAAGAAAATGGAAGCAATGAAAAGCAAAAGCCTCCTGTAATGTTCCATTAAGAGGAACAAATGAAATGCAGCTCCCCTGTAGCCAGAAAGCGCAAACCCTCAGACCAGTCCTGGGCAGGCCTTCCCACAGTCTGCAGGAACTAAGTACTCACCTACATACCTGACGCTGTTGTTACCATGGTGACTCCTTACCTTCTGCATTCCTTAACTGAGGGGTTGAGACTGGTTCAGGGCACATTTGAGTTTTTATGTTTCTCCCTGGCTTCTAGAAAAAGAAAGGGGAGGTGAGGGAAAGGAGTCTAAGTCAGCTTGCCTGCTGCTTTGGCCATTTGTGTTTTGGCCTGTGTAACAAGCCCTCACTAGGTGAGAGGGGCCTGCTGCAGAGGGAGGGAGTGGAAACAGCTCTGGTGCAGCCTCAAATACCTAAGTTCAAATCCCAGCTCCTCAGTGAACCATTTATTCATTCAAACAAGCTCTCCTGTGGGCCAGGCACTAGAAGAAAGATGAAAGAATAGCCATCTGTGGCTGAGCTGCAGCCCCTGCCACAGAGTTGACCCTCAGAGACCTGGCTGTCCAGGGGGAAAGCTGGATCAGCAGATGACTGTAAGTCAGAATTCTAAGTGACTTCACAGAGGCAGGTGCCAGTTCTATCTGTCCAGACAGGTGACCTTGTAGGAAGGGGAGAAAGGATATGAAACCCACACTGTATTGAAAGGGACTCTCTAGAACACTCCCGCAAGGGTTTCTCCCTCTAGGGCCCACAAGAGCTCTGCCTGAGGGCATAAAATTAAGTGGAGACTTGCACTATGATCTCAGCAAGTCAATTCACTTTCCCGAGCCTCAGTTTCTCCATCTGTAAACCAAAGCTAATTACAACTGCCTTAGTCTTGAGAAAAATTATGTTCATTTATAATGATGAAAAACAGCAGACAGACCTGGATCCAAACCCTGACTCTCCAATGCACCACTGAGTAACAATGGATAATTCTGAACTTTAACCCCTTTGAATCTCAGTTTCCTCACCTGTAAATGAATAATCATAATCATACTAACTCATAAGAGTGTTAATAGAACTAGATAAGAGAATACATGTAAACAACATAGGGCCAGCTTATGATAAAATGCCAGTTACTTCTTATTCCAGAAGTAGAGCTCCTGATTCAGTGCTTGACGCGTCCTGAGTCAGATATTATTGTTACTATTGTTACATGGCACCTGGTTGGCATTCTCTAAACATTACTTTCCCAGCCTTCTTGGACCCCTTCCTCTGGCCACTCTATTTTTGCACCTTCTTCAGTTTTCAAATGTGTTGACTATTTCTCTCCCAGGCCAAGGAGAGTGCAGTTTGAAGTCCACATCCCTCCCCAGCATCCTCCTTTTCACCTTGACCTTAGCCTTAACTCTCCTAGACTGAATGAAGCAGAGAGGCATGGGCCTGGCCCTACAGGGCTCCCCTGGAGACTGAGTTGGGGGAAAGGGCAGGGAGTGCATCACACCTAATGCAATCGCAGGCTCACCGCTTGGCCCACTTGCTCCTCTTTAGATTTACTGAAGCCTGGATTCCACAGGAACCCTTGGAAGTAGCATACTGACAGAAGGGGCCAGCAGCACACAAAATTGTCCCTGCTCTGGGGACAGTTTAGGGAGAAAATGATACTGTGCCCACCTGAGCTTCATGTACCCTGGGCTCAGGGACACAGGAAAAAGATAACAGGTGTGAGTCCAGAGGGAAGAGCAGGGAAGGCAGGCTCAAGGAGGGAGGGAATAACCACTGGCTGATGCCAGGGTTAGCTTCTAGACCCAGCTCTGGGGGCCCTAATGAATAGACACTTTATCCCTGAGCTTCTAAGGGATAAGCTTCAGGAGGGAGCCCTGGAAAGGGGTCTTGGGTGACCAGGAGTCTCAGAACCAGCTCAGAGGATCCTGTACCTTCCTTCCCAGTACAAATTCTAGCTGGAGAGAAGCTTGTTTTCCAGTCATTTGCCTAAGATCTTCATTTAGGAGGACCTTCACCAATCCCACAGTCTTGCTGGTCACCTGGAGCCATCCTAAGCAGCTCAGTGTTGTATAGCTGTAAAGAACACAGGCCCCTGGCAGTCAATTCTCAGCTCTTCCAGCTACTGGCTGGATGCCCCAGGCAAGTTACTTCAAGTCTCTTAACTCTCAACTTCTTCATGTCAAATGGGATAATAAGGGTCATTGACAGGCCCATAGAGCCATGCCTCGCAATGGTAAATGCATTCAATAACTGTTAGATATTGTTATTTGTATTAAGATTTCAGGGAAGGCAGAGAGGAAAAGGATCCCAGCATTAGCTGTTTGCTCCCAGATCCAAACACTAGTACTCTCTAGTGCTTAAAGAGTCTTTTTTCTTTTTCTTGAAGCTGCAACCTAACTGTCCTTATTTCAATATCTAATGACTATTTCCCTGTTATCAGGAAAGACTCTAACCTCCCCTCCCCCAGAGCTGTGAAACCAAGTAAGCCAAGCTTGCTCAAGCTCCTGAGTCATTAAGCAAAACCAGCCCAAGATAATCAGTGATCAAGGAAACCAGATGCAGAGTGGGGAAAACCCAGCCACAAAGCTGGGGCCTCCTCTTAGGGTAATTCCCTCTTCTGGCCCTTAAGATGAGCTCTCATTCAGGTTAGACATACAAGACACCACTTGACACCTGAGTCCTTCCCAGGCCCTCCTGTACCCAGAGCAAATCATTAGCTACACCTGGGTCTCTACCCTGCAGCCAGACCTTCCCATGGAATCTTGACACAAACTGTCCTGAGACAAACTCTCTCCTTCTCTCTACACCCCCGTCCTGGGAGAATGGACACCATGCCTCTCATCCTTCCTGCCACTCATTTTTCAGCCCCTGCAACTTGATTTCTGCCCAATCACTCCACTCCCATCACACACATTGATGATCTCTCAATTGCCAAATCCAAGACTGTCTCGGGCCTTTCCTTCTTGCCCTCTCTGAACACTTGACCACTCTCCTCTTTAAACTCTCCTTCCTAAGCTTCTGGGAGGCCCCAGCCCCCTGGTCCTCCTCTCTCTGAAACAAGCACTTTTTTGGTACAGGCTGCTGCCTGCTCTCCATTCCTTAATGTTGCTCTTCACAGTTCTGCTCTTAGCCCTCTTCCCTTCTGATTCTTCATGCCCCATCCCAGTTTTAATCTGCTCCCAGGTCTTTGCTGGTGACTTCCCAAACCACAACTCTTCTTGAATGACCCCAGGCACAGCCAGTTCAACATGCCCAAAACTAAACTATCTCCACCCAAAACCTGTTCCTCCTCCTGTGTTGCCAACCTCGATGAATGACACCACATTTTACCTGTTATGCAAGCCAGAGACTCAAATGTCCATCATCATTGCCCCTTCCTGCCCTATTCACAAATCACCAGACTCTGCATAAATCTCTTCCTTTCCCCTCCATCCCCACTGTTTCTGCTCTAGTTCAGGCCTTCCATGACCTGAAGCCTAGATTATTACATTTTATGTGGTTTCTAGGCCTTCATTCTCTTCCCTTTGTACTAGACTTGTCTTGGCATGTCTGCCCAACTATAGTCTTTTTCTTGAGGACCCATGGGCACTCACAGACCTTGCTGAAGAGGTACCCCTAGACCTCATGTTGACTTCACTGAAACCTCCCCTGGTATCATCACAGTGCTTTGAAGCAGAGGTACACATTTGACCCAAGCTGAGCTGATTCTATCTCCTGGGAATATGAAACTGGAAATAGTGACTCTAGTCCAAATGCCACCAAGGGTCACACCAGTAGTGAAAATGAGTGACACAGCCCACTGAAAGGCAATGGGGAATGGGCAAGTGTGGCAAATGGAGGGTGTGTGCCTCATCTAAAGGTAGCAGCTGCTACTTTGCTCTAGCAAATGGTTGCTGTGGGAATACAACCTCAGACCATCAGATATTCTGATTTTCCAGATTTTTATGTGAAATTTCCTAATTTTTGAATATTGGGCACTAATTCATTCTTTTAAATGCCACAAGCTAAGCATATCTTGTGCACCATATTTGGCCTACTGGGCTGCCAGTATAATTGGCACCAGAGAGTCAGGTTTAGGCACTGGACCCAAAGCTGAGAACAGCCCCTTTCCACCTTGTGAATGGAGAAACAGAGAAAACCTTATACATAGAGGGAAGAACAAAGTGTCTTCTTGTTGGCTCCTTGCCCCCAAGTATACTACATGCTTGCATTTCTTGCCCCAACCTCTTGCCCTTCTTTCCAGGCCCAGGACTATATAATAAAGTTAGAGGCTTTGGCATCAGACATCTTCATTCAAGTGCAGACTCCCTGGCTGTGTGCTCTTGAGCCAGGCACTTCACCTCTCTGAGCCTCAATTCCTTCCTCTGTAAAATGGGGTGTATTTTTCATCTGCTTGTTATTTGGATTAAAAGGAGATATTGTCCAGAAAGCTCTTAGCACAGTGCCAGCATCCAGTAAGTGCTGGATGAATGTCAGCCGTTATAATCGTTATTATTGCCAGTAGTAGTAGTATTCCTTCTAAGCCCAGCCCTCTCAGCACACTTTCTGGGCATTTGCCATTTACTCTTATCACTTAGCACTGTATTAGCTGCCTTCATGTATTGTAAACTCCTAGAGGAGAAGGTCACCATTTTCTCTTTCTTTACATGGAAGGGAGGGAAAGGAAATGGAGTTGGGACAATGTTTTGCACATAATAGATACTCATTTATCTGTCTGATTCACTATTATATTCCTTGAGCCTAGTACAGTGCTAGGCACATATAGAACCCTCAATAAACATATATTGAATAAAAGAAATGAAAAGTATCTCCTCACCACTAGGATTCTTTAACACATCTAGGTTATTCGTGTAAATCACAATCCACTGCTTTAGCATAGAAAGCTCTGGAATCTCTGTTAACAGCATCCTATTTTTCCTTTGGGGAACTCTCTTTTACCAGCTCAAGGTGGCTGACTCACCTCAGCGCTAGGGTTATTCATGTGACCCAGGGCTAGCCAATCAGAGATGGCTATCCCCTGGCCACTATGATTGGTTCAGGGTGGACTTAAAACCCAATCAAAGCCAATCAGAGCTGAAACTATTGGAAAGGAGAAGTTTGCTTTCCACGTAGGAAACTAAGTCTTGAGAATATGAGCCTAGAGCTGCTAGTGGTCATATTACCACCATGAGGAGAAAGCCTATCTAAAGCACAGAAAAATATCTAAGATATGGAAAGAGGTTCCTGACAGTTACTTTTTTTTTTTACAGTTAAACATACAAACTTTTATTTTCAATGAATAAATAATAAATATATCATGACAGAATTAAAAAATATATGGAAATCTCCAAATAGGATTGCTAAAATGGATTATTTTTTAAGTGGGAAGGCAATGACATTATTTTTGTAACTTTTGATATCCTGCTGAAGTTTTCTTAATAGACTTGCTCCACCAAGCCAATGTCCTAGAAAACAAATTCTGTAAGTAGAGAATTCTCTTCCAAAGTTTCATAAATATTAATTATACTGTGATAGGTGATTTATGGTTAGAAAATCATCACAACAATCTGCTGAGATAGATGTTATTATCCTCATATTAAAGATAAAAAAATGAGACTGAGAAAGGTTAAACAATTTGTTCCACTGTAGGTACTGAAGTTGAAAGGAGGTCTGTAGGACTCCAAGCTTGTGGTGTCATTTTTTTTTTTTTAACAATATTGGCTAAAACTTAATAAAAATAAATGCTTTAAAAATTTATGATGATTCAGTAGGGTAAGGCTAATCTTTACCTTTAATTTCTTTTTTACTAAAGAATTATGGATATACACTGTTATAAAGGTTTCACATCGAAAAACAATGTGGTTACTACATTCACCCATATTATCGTATCCCCACACACACCCCATTGCAGTCACTGCCCATCACTATAGTAAGATGCCACAGAGTCACTATTTGCCTTCTCTGTCTTCCCCATGATCCCCCCCACACCATGTGTGCCAATCAAAGTACCCCTCAATCCCTTTCTCCCTCCTCCCCACCCGCCCCTCCCACACTCCTCCCCTTTGATAACCACTAGTCCCTTCTTGGGGTCTGTGAGTCTGTTACTGTTTTGTTCCTCCAGTTTTGCTTCGTTGTTATACTCCACAAATGAGGGAAATGATTTGCCACTTGTCTTTCTCTGCCTGGCTTATTTCACTGAGCATAATACCCTCTAGCTCCATCTATGTTGTTGCAAATGGTAGGATTTGTTTTCTTCTTATGGCTGAATAATATTCCATTGTGTATATGTACCACATCTTCTTTACCCATTCATCTACTGATGGACACTTAGGTTGCTTCCATCTCTTGGCTATTGTAAATATTGCTGCAATAAACATAGGGGTGCATATGTCTTTTGGAATCTGATAAACTTATGTTCTTTGGGTAAATACCTAGGAATGGAATTCCTAGGTCAAATGGTATTTCTATTTTTAGTTTTTAGAGTAACCACCATATTGCTTCCCACAATGGTTGAATTTCCTGACAGTATTTTTTGAGTAAATAGTTGCAACTGCACCTGAAGCCAAACCCTTGACTATTCTGTGAGAGACAATAAATTCCCTTTTTCGTTAACTCATCTTGAGTTAGGTTTCTTTCACTTACTAAATATTTGTATTTTATAGATAGGGAGTCATGGTAGACAAACACATAGAGTTTTATAGGAATCTGCCCAGACCACAATGATCCCCTCTCTCTAGGAACTGCTCCCTACCCACAGACTAGACAGAGCCCTATTTCTACCACCAAACCCTGACCATAAAGTCACAACTGGATGGGCCCAGAAGTGGACATGTACCACGTCATAATCAGATCAGATTATCTCTCCTGGGGATTTGAATTTAGGACTGAGAGATCCTAGTTCATTCTGAGCTTCATGCTTAAACTTAGGATGTGAAATTGGGAGCTGGGAGAAGGTCACATTCATGGCACCGACTTGTCACAGAAGAATGAGGTTGATGCACATATGGAAGTAGAGGTCCAGGGCCATGATTTCCCAAAGAGAGAGGGAGAGAGAAGAGTTGTTCTCTCATCCCTCATGAGACTCATTACTTCTTCTAGGTTCCATGAAATTTCTGTGTGTTCATAAATTCCCCTACCATCACCCTTCCCACCCCCCTTTTTTTAACTTAAAATAGCTCTAGAGTTGGGTTGCTTTGTTTTGTTTTGCTTTTGCTTTTACAACCAAAAGGATTTTAGGCAACCATCCTAGGAATAAGTCTATAGCTAAGTGTCCTGTTAACTAAGCTGACAAAGGTCCTGGCTTCCTGAATTGAGACACCCTCACATCCAATTACTAGCTGTATAACCTTAGCCAAAGCACCTGGATTCACTGGCTTCCTCCTCTGTAAAAGGGGAATAATAATGACTACCTACCATGTTGTTGTGAAGACCGATAAGGTAGAAAAAGAGCCTAGCACAGTGCTGGGCACCAAAAATTGATGTAATCAGTATGTGCTGAATGCAGAAGAGGGGTTGTGCTTAAGCCTAGAGCCAGTCCACTGGTAGGTACCAGCCCAGGCTAGAAAAGGAAGCTTCAAGGGACAACTCTTCTCCCCACCAATACTTTTGTCATCTCATTTGTGCCAATTTTTCAAAAGCATTGAGGAGGGAGACAGTATCTTTATTTTAAAAAATGCCCTTTCTGGAACTCTAATGATATAATCAAACAAGAAAAAATACAATGCAAAAGATGCTCACTGCAGTAGTGTTCAGAGTGCAACTGAAGTGATTTAAATGTCCAATACCGTGCTTCGCTTATTAGATGATGATATATACATACAATATAATATTATGAAGATTTGGAGGAGAGAAGATACAATATTCTGAAATGAAATAAACATCAAGTAGAATGCAAAATGCCGTGAGGAGTAATAATGCAAATTTTCTCTGAATTTTAAGGTAAAAGCCCATTAAAGACATTTCTCCCTCTCTCTTACATTCCAGCACCATACACACTGTCTCACCTGTCCAGCAATGCACTCATTCATCTTCTCTGCCTTTGGGGCAACTTGGGTGGAAAAATTTAAGAAGCATTTATGTAAGTACAAGTCCTGAGGCCCTTAACATTAAAGGCATTGACAAGAACAGATGTCTACAACATTTTCTGAGTTAAAAAAAAAGGCAGGTTACAAAAATATTACCCAAAATATGAACAGTAGTTGTCTCTTGCCATGGATTTCAGGCAGCTTTTTTTCTTCTTTGTACTTTAACATATTATTTGAAGTTTTTATAGTGTATGTGCATTGTATTAGAAAAAAAATAAGCTGTTTTCATGGGGGCCTTGATTTTATTTTCTCCTAGACTGTCCTCAATGCATGTACTACCAGACGTCCTCTAACACATCTTCCTTCTTCAGGAATGGGGAGATTTACCTAGCTGCCCAATGTTCTGTGTAGATGCTCCAGACAGAATCAACTGGTACAAGAAGAGTCTTCCATGAGTCCACACAAGTGCTAGGTAGCTCCCTACTGCCCTCTCTTGGTCAGAACATGTCAGAACCTGATCTAGCCAAACCCCACACTCAGTGCATGCTGATGGCCAGTCATCCCCACCCAGAGGCGTGACTTGGAGCTACTCCCTACAGTCATAAGTGTGCTGCACACTAGCATCTGTACCCCACCCCACAACAGACCATGACCTGGCCTTAGCCAGGCTGAGCCTAATGACTGCAAACCAGTCTGGACAGTGCTGGCCATTCTAAGCTAGAGGCTCTCAGTAGACATTCTATTCCAACTGCTAGAGCAAGTGATGGAGAGCTTTCCTGTTCACTAGAGAGCACTGACGGTCAGGATGTGAGGCTTGAGAAAGTAGAACGAGGGTTGCAAAAAGGCAACTGCAATCAACCTACTCATGAAATCCCTCGTCCTTGTATAGTTCTTTTTACCTATTAATGTTATTTCCCAAGAAGGCAGCTTGACATGTTCAAATAAATTCATACAAAGATGTTTGCTACAGAATCGTTGGTAACAACAAGAGTGGAAACAATCTAAATACCCTTCAGCATGGGTATGTTTAGACAAAATGTAATAGTACACAGCTGTTAAAAAATGAGGTAGATCTGTATATGCTCCTGTGGAATGACTTCTAAGATTTATGATTAAGTTTGAAAAAAAAAAAAGACATGTAACAGTAGTGTGAGTGTGTGTCTTAAATAAGGATCTGTATAACTACACATTTGTATCTAGACATATATAGACTATATCAGAAGGAAACACCAGAAACCAATAATAATGCCTGCCTCTGGGGATGGAGGGACTGAGAGTATGGCAGTAGAAGAACTACTCTCACTGTATATCTTTTTGTACTGTTAAATTCTTTACCATGTTCATGTGTTATTTTTTCCAAGATAAATTTTATTTTAAATAATATGTTTCAGAAGAGTTTGATAAAATGGGATCAGAAAGACGAGGGTTCAAATCTAGACTTTCAGACTCACCAATTGTATGACTGTAAGTAAATCACTTAAATACTCTGAACCCCAATTTTCTCATATCTAAAATTGAATTAGTAACATCAATTTCGTGGCATTATTGTGAAGATTAAAGATAAGCACTTAGAATCAGGATAATCTTGTTGCACACCTCCGGGGAGCATTATTCACATTGTTTTCTATGTGACTGGTGCCTTCTGGAGATGAAACATTGCAATAGCGCTGTTAAATATGGGACCTGGTACCTAGAAGATGAAGGGGGAAAATTATAATTTTCATATATATTATCTCACTGTAATTTGTCATCGCTTCAAATAATTTTATACCTGAAGAAACAGGAATGGATCAGCAGCCAAGCTTGGTTTGGAACACGGGTCTCCAAATTCCTACTCCAAGGTGAAAGCAAAACACCAGGAGATTAGCCAAAGTCTATGTGTGAGAAGAATGAAAGACAAATAGGCAAAAGGGATAAGAGTTGGGAATCATGCATCTAGATTGGCAAGTCAAAAGTAAAACTATCTCTATTTGCAGGTATTATGATAATATGTAGAACATGCTAAGGTACCAAAAAAAAGCTATTAGACTAGTGAGTTCATCAAGGTTGCAGGATACAAAATCAATACACAAAAATCAGTTGAATTTTTATACACTATAATAGAATACCATAGGCTGGGTGACATAAACAACAGAAATTTATTTCTCATAGTTCTGGAGGCTGGAAGTCTGAGATGAAGGTGTCAGCATGGCCGAGTTCTGGTGAGAGCCCTCTTCCAGGTGGCAGACAGGTGTTTTCTCTGGGGTCCCTTTCATAAGGGGTCTAATCCCACTCATGAGGTCTCCACCCTCATGACCTGATCACCTCCCAAAAGCCCCACCTCCTAATACCATCACAGTGGAGGTTAAGATTTCAACATATGAATCTGTGGGGACATGTTCGATACATAATAACTAACAATGAACAATTTGAAAATAAAATTGAGAAAATGACTTCATTTACAATAACATCAAGAATAATAATATACTTAAGAATAAATTTAACAGAAGTACAAGACTTGTATACTGAAAATTGCAAAAAACTGTTGAAAGAAATAAAAGAAGACCTAAATGAAATAAATCTCATGTTTATGGATTAAAATGGACAGACGGCATTCTGGGGTATAAAATGGTTAATGGTCCCCAAACTGATCTATACTTTCAATGCAATGCCTATCAAAACCTCAGCTCATTCTTTGCAGAAATTAACAAGCTGATTCTAAAATTCATGTGGAAATGCAAGGGACACAGGAGAGCAAAAACAATCTTGAAAAAAATATTTTCAAGACTTATTACATAGCTTGTTACATAGCTAAAATAACATGTGGTACTGGCATGAGGAAAACTATATAGATTAATGGAATAGAAACGAAAGTCCAGAAATAAACCCTTATATTTAAGGTCAGTTAATTTTAGATATGAATGTGAAGACAATTATATATCCACATGTAAAAGAATGAAGTTGGACTCCTATTCACACCATATAAACAAGTTAATTCAAAATGTATCATAGACCTAAATGTAAGAACTAAAACCATAAAACTCTTAGAAGAAAACATAAAACTCTTAGAAAGAACCCTTGAAACTCAACAATAAAAAGCCAAATAGTTCAATTTAAAAATAGGCAAAGAATTTGGAAAGACATTTCTCCAAAGGAGATATACAAATGCCCAAGAAGCATATGAAAAGATGCTTAAAATCAAAACCATGATGAGATACAACTTCACACCCACTAAGATGGCTAAAATTAAAATAGACAATAACAAGTGTTGGTGAAAATATGGAGATATTAGAGCCTTTGTATACTTTAAACATTGCTGGTAGGAAAGCAAAATGGTACAGCTACTTTGGAAAACAATTTGGCAGCTCCTCAAAATGTTAAACATTGAGCTACTGCATGAACCAGCAATTCCACCTCTAGTTATACACCCAAGAAAATTAAAACATGTCCACACCAAAAACCATGTACATGAGTGTTGATACCAGCATTATTCATAATAGCCAAAAAGTGGAAACAACTAATGTCCATCAGCTGATTAATAGATAAACAAAATGTGATATAGCGATACAATGGACTATTACTTGGTAATAAAAAAGAATGAAGTGCTGATTCATACAACATGGATGAGCCTTGAAAACATTATGCTAAATGAAAGAAGCCAACCACAAAAGTCACATATTTTGTGATTCCATTTATGGCCAGAACAGTCAAGTCCGTAGAAACAGAAAGCAGATGCCAGGGGTTGGTGAGGGATGGGGAGTGACTGCTAATGAGTATGGGGTTTCTTTTGGGGGCAGTGAAAATATTCTGGAATTAGAGCATGATGATGGTTGTCCAACTCCATGAATATACTAAAAATCACTGACTTGTATACTTTAAAAGAATGAATTTTGTGGTATGTTAATTATATATCAATAAAGGTGTTTTGATTTTTTTTTAAAGAAGAGTTTGGGATTTTTATATGGGAAACACTCACAGCTTCCTCCTGACATTTCCCTTCCATGGGAAAGGCACCCATGTGCATAACTCTCCCAGCTTCTCTCTGCCTCCAACTCACTCCTTCCCTAAAGAAGAGAAGTTATTTGATTTGTGGGTTTGGGATAAAGAGCTGGTATATGCAGTTCTACAGTATCAGACACTGCCAGTGAATGGCTTGTTAAGTTGGCCTAATTCTGGGGTCAATATTAGGAAGCACACCTATTCACAGACATAAGCCACTATCCCCAAGAGCAGGTTTCTCAATACTAAGGCTGGTATTTTGGTTTCTATATGCCTTATCCCTTCATCTTATTTCTCAAATGGCTCAGAACTTTTCCAAGCAAGGAGGGTACCATCTATTGGCTACTCTCCAAGAACCCCAGCAGCACAGGCGGCCTGGTGTGGGTATCATAAAATAGCTACTTGTATATCACAGAGACACTGAGTTTGGATAGATAGCATAGAGCAATGGAATGAGTCAACAGACCTCATTTCTCTTTCCAAATTCATTCATTCATACATCTATTCAATAAATATTTAAGAACCTAGTATATGACAGTCATTGTTAAAGGAGATGGAGATTCAAGAGTGAATAAAACTGACCAAAACCCTGCTATAAATGAAGTGTACATTTTAGTGGGAAAACTGGCAATAAACCAGGATATACGTTCTCTTCAATGGTGATAAGTCCTCAGGACCAAAAAAATAAAAAAAGAAAGAAAGAAAGAAAAGTAAAGAACAGAAAACACCATAGGGAAGGAGAATGGGAAATAATATCAGTGGAGGGTGTGAAATTTTGGGTACAGTGTCCAGGAAAATTTTCACCAAGAAGGCAGCATTGGAATAAAGAAAGAGATCTGGAAAGCCAGTCACATGGGTATTTTGGGAGAGAGATTTCTAGGCAGAGTAAACAGAATACGCAGAGTCTCTGAAGTAAGAGTGAACAGTCTGAGGCAGAGCCAGTGTAGCTGTGATGGGAGGGGAAGAAAATGTGGTAAGAGAAGTCTCAGGAAGCCAGCTCAAATGACACCCTGTAGCTCTGAGTAAGGGTTTGGCATTTACTCATCAATTTAGCCACTGAAGGGTTTCAGCAGAGGGGTGACATCTGAATCTGTTGAGAATGCACGGAAGGGAGCGAAGGCAGAAGCAAGGAAATCAGTGAGGAGGCTTTTACAGTAACCCAGGTGCATGATGATGGCTTGGGCCAGAAAGGGAGCAGGAGGGAGATGTAGTCCTTTCTGGAGCTGTTTTGAGGATAAAGCCATCCAAGTGTGTTGGTAGATTGGAGCTAGGCTGTCTGAGAAAGAGAAAAGTTAAGGATAACTCAAGGATTTTGTCCTGAGCAACTGAAAGATGCAGTTGCAATTACTGACCAGGTTGGGGGAATGGACATCAGGAACTCAGCCTTGGACATGTTGATTTTCAGATGCCCATTGGACATTCAAGGGGTATGTTAAATAGGCAGTTGGACACGTTGAGTCTGGAGTTCAAGATGGAGGTCCAAGTTACTTACTGGATTACCATTTAGCCATTTGCTATCCTTATGACCTTGGACAAGTCATCTAAATTCTCAGAGCCATAATTTCCTCTTCTATAAAACAAAGGAAAAAGCAGTAGCTATAACACAAGTATGTTGTCCTCACAACAGATTAAGTCTGATGATCAGTAAAGTAACTGGTTCACAAAAAATAAATTATCACTATTACCAAGTTCAATTAAATATGCATTTAGTTGCTGGAAATGCAACAAATAAAAGATACAGCCCCTACCCTCAGTCTCAATGGAGAAAACTTGGTCAAAGCTTTCAACAAACAATCTCTCAGGTAACACTGATCATTTGGGAGAATCATCAGGTCCTGGCACCCAACTGGACACAGATAATAAAGAAGAGTTGATGATAATGGACAACTAGCCTCAGCATGGAAGTAGTCCAGGGTATTGGAGGGCAAACCAGAACGTGTATCTTTTCCTTACACTAGTTTGCTGGGAAGCTTGGACTCATTGACCCTCTTTCTCTCACTCCCCCATTAGGGTAAACCCCAATCCCCTGGAAATGTTAAAAAGTGTCCAAAGTTGCTCAGGTGAAAAACTGAGCAATGATGCTAAGCACATCACTTGCCCATGCCTATTTCCTCCCCTTCTCTCCTCCACTGAGCCCTGTCCCTCCATCAGGACTTCTCCAGTCTCTTGCAATCCCTGAGCCTGGTTCTTCTCAGCTTCTAGGCAGCAGGGGAAGCAGCTCAGAGACCCTGTGCATCACTGAAGAACCTAGAAGGCAAACACTGGGGAGATATTTGAGCAAATGTGAAGAGGAAAGTCAAGAAGCATAAGGACAGAGAGGCTACCACTGAGTTCCTACTGGACCAGGAGCTGTGGTAGGAGTCTTCAGGGCTGAGAGAGTTGTTGCAATGATTAAATTTGTATCCATATAGAGCATTTGGCTCAGGGACTGGAAGTAGTGAGAGCATAATAAATGAAGAGCACAAAGATTATTTTTATTCTATCTCTTTAAAAATTTTTTATTAAAGTATCAATATACCATCTTATATTGGTTTCAAGTAGACAACACAATGATTCAACAATCACCAGTATTATTAAATCCTCATCCCCACTAGTGTGGTTACTATCTGTCAACATAGGAAGATGTTACAGAATACTGTGTCTCTTTTAATCCTCACAAGCATGAGAGGCAGTATGGTATAACTGGTGCTCTTGTGTCAGATAAATCTGGGTTCAAACCTTAGCTATGCCACACCTAGGCTGTTGTGACTGGGAAAGCTACTTTCCTTTTCTGAGTCTTAGTTCGCTCATCTGTAGAGTAGGGAAAATAATGGCACCTACCAAAGATTCATCTAAAAGCGGTGATGTAGGGCCTGGTACACAGTAACTGCTCCATAATCATTAGATAGTCTTAGTA